TGAACCCAAGTCTGACCGAGAATGGTTGTTTTTATCGACGGAAAATTCGAAATTTCGCGTAGTTTTGGTCCCGACTCATATATGAAGCTCAATTTTATAACAAAATGACTTTCCAGGCCAAAGGCATTCGACAGGACTCAATAAAAATCCAAATTTTATTAACGGAATTTGGATAACGGAAATGGAAAAAGGTTCGGGTTGTCACAGTTACGGTCGGATTATATAATATCAGTAGCTAAAAAGCCAGTTGGGAGGTTAGTGCAATGAAATGGGCAAAGATTCGGTCTGGGAGGTCTGTCAGGGAGACAGACCATCTCGAGACTTCAGGTTTTTGATTGAGTAAATGGGACCAGGTTTCAAGAAATTCGTTCATCTTTAAGTTTTAGAACCCTGCGGGGTCGGTTTTGGTTGCCTTGGAGAGGCTATGGTATGCTTGTGGTTGGGACCATGTCGTCCAAGTTGCCGGGCGTGCAAGGGATGGTAAGGAATGATTTCGAGGATGAAATCTAATTTAAGTGGGGGAGAGTTGTAACATTATGTTTATTTAATAAATAAATAGATAAATATTGATGAACGAATAGTCGCCCTAAAACCAATAATATTTGGCGGAGAGTGGTTTCGGGGAGCCAAATGATATATTTTAGACTTTCGGGGTTAAAGTGTAATTTCAGGACTTGTTTTGCAAAGGATTTTAGAAGTCAGGGGGTGTTTGGTATTATTTGGGCTTAATATGTAAGGATTTATGGAAGCATGGGCTGATTGGTAACATTTTGGACTTGATTTGAAAGAGGTTTCAGAAGGCCGGGGCTAAATTGTAAATTTTGGAGTTGGTTTGCAAAGATGCTGATGGGGAGGGACCAATTCTGCCATTATGGCAATATGTTTATGGTGTCGGGTATATAACCCTTAAGGGAACCCTAACCCTAAGAGGAGCAATCAGCCGCCACCACCACCTTATCTCTCTCGTTTGCGGCCGCAAACCTCATTACCCCCCCCCCCCCTCCTCCACCGTTGTTCGTTGCTGTTGAAGCCGGAGAACCGCCAAGATACACCGTCGTCACCCTTGTTGCTGTTCGGTTGCTAATGAGCCGAGAACGCTGAAGAATGTCGTCATGGCTGTGTGCTGCCATGATCGGACGTGCCTCACCTTCCTTCTTCTGTTCGTTCGGTTCGCCGTCATTCACGTTGCCGGTGTCAAACAATAGCTGATGTGTCCTTCTTCTTCTTCTGCTGCTGCTATGGTTGTGGTTTTTGGTGGTGGATTGCCACCATTTCCCCACCGTAAACGCTCCTCTACCTCCATTTTTGGTTACACCTGTCGCTTACTGCCCAAGCCACCGTAAAGCGCTCCTGCTACCACCTTTAGCCACCCCGAAGGGCTGCCATGTTCGTGTCTCATGTGGGTACAAGGACGTTGCTACTTCAAGTTCGTGTGGTGGGTGTTGTTGTTGTTGTTGTCATTCAGGAGCATGTGTGTGTTTTCGGTTGGACAGAAAACCCCGAGATGACCACCATGGTGGTTGTCGCCCTATTTTTGTTCAGCCACCACAAGGGTGGTTGTGTATGTGTTTATGTTAGTTAGTGTGTGTGTTTATTGTTGGATTAAAGCATTGTAAGTGTAATTAGCAAAAAGAATAATGAAAAGAAACTCTAACCACCACCGTGAGGTGGTGGCCGCCGCTGTAAGCCGCCATTGACCGCCACTACCCGAGGTGGTAGTGGGTGGTGCCCGACTAGCGAAACCCTAATGGGCCTAGCAAACCCTAATTGATCAAAAGACCTAGCTATTGGGTCTATTGGGCTATGACTGGGTTGAAAACCCTAATTAGGGTTTGGAAAACCCTAATTTTGGGATTATTGGTTTGGACTTATCGGGACCCGCATTTTGGATCATTGGAGTGAAGTGATGACTCAAGCCCGATTTCATTGTATGTTTGGACTTGATAGAATAAGCTCTTAAAGGATTAAGTCCTTAATGGGTTAAGTAGGAACACTTAACCCTAATCGACATTTTATGTGAAAAACCCTAATTGGGTTTGGGTTCTTATTGGGCCACTTATTGGACTAAGCTGTTGTGGGCCTTTGTGGGCCAATTGGGAACATATTATGGACCAAGGAAATTATTGGGCCTTAGGATAAGACCCATTAGAGAGGCTTGGGCCCAATTTGGAAAATTAGACCATAAGTGGGCTATAATTAGGCCTTGAGGATTATTAGCCATTGGGCCATCATAATGCCAATTGTTTGGACTGGACTAAATGGTTGGGCTTTAGAATAAGACCATGTAAAGGTTTGGGCCCAATTTGGAAAATTAGGCCATATGTTGGGCTTTGATACCTAGTTTGACTTTTGGGCCTTGGGCTTGAATCAAGCCAAGATGGGGTAATGTAGCCTGCTACTCCAAGAACTTATGGTTATGTGTTGGGACCCAATTATTAATTGGGTGTCATTTTGATGTTGATAGTTCGGGAACCTGTCAACCAGCAGCTAGAGTTTTATCCGCGGGAATTCAGCAGTGCGACGTGAGTCTCCTCACCATACCAATAGGTCTAAGGCACCAAGGCCGGCCCATTTTATGATATTTGGTTTACTTGTTGTGTAAAGGTGTGTGGCATATTTATGCAGTGTTATGTGGTAGAGATAACTTTTGCAGCTAATGGTAGAGATAGCCTTCAGGGCTAATGGTAGAGCTAGCCTTCAGGGCTAAGGGTAGAGATAGCTATTATGGCTAAGTATAGAGATAACCTTTGCAGTGTTATGTGGTAGAGATAGCTTTTGCAGCTAATGGTAGAGATGGCCTTCAGGGCTAATGGTGGAGCTAGCCTTCAGGGCTAAGGGTAGAGATAGCCATTATGGCTAAGTGTAGAGATAGCCTTTGTGGCTAATGGTAGAGATAGATTTGATAGCTGATTGATATGTGATATGTGGTAGAGGTAGCTTTTATAGCTAATTGACATGTGATATGTGGTAGAGGTAGCTTTTATAGCTAATTGTTATGTGCTATGTGGTAGAGGTAGCTTTTATAGCTAACATGATATGTGGATTGTGTGTGTGGTATGCTTTGGGAAACTCACTAAGCTTCGTGCTTATATGTTTGTTTATGGTTTCAGGTATCATCGTTTTGGAAAGGAAGAGCCCGGATTGATCGCAATGCACACACCTATGATTTTCGCAATGAATGATTTTGGGACGGACTCTGATAAAAGTTCTACTTAATGAGGATTTGAAATGTTTGAAATAATTGGTATCAATGTTTTAACTATATTAAAAATGAAATTTTTACCCTTGATTTTTTGGGTCGTTACATATTTCAAATAGCCCTTGCGATGGGTGTTACAAAATCATAAAGATACCATACATATCTTATATAACTTAAGAGGACTTTCGTTGATTTATCGCAATGAGCACGTTTATAGGCCACATGACGTGTCTAATGGAGCTCTATTTGATAATAACAACATCTGGTAAAACTTCATTTTCCAACGTGTCGTTATATTTAGTAGGTTGTAGTTACGAGTTATATTTGGTTGCTTAATGACAATCTTTCATCTTCCATCTATCATTGTAACCGGTCTTCTTGCATGTATAAATAAGATATCATATAGTTGTTACATGAATATAGTTGTCATTTATGTTCCCTTTATTGTTGAATTTTCAGGTATTGGGTATAAATACGGTGGCTTAGGTGTGAAGAATGACAATGGAATGAGTTTCAACTTTTTAAAAAATGATCAAGTGAATGTCAAGTTGTTCTACAATACATAATTTAAATGTCAACACAATTAAATAGTTTCAAAGAACGTTATAAGAGCTATAATACTTATAAAAAACACATACTAAATACACTTTACTAAAAACAATTTTAGTCGGTTTCTTTTTTTATATCTAATTACCACTCAAATTTTTTATTACTACAAATCTATTCTATTATAGATACTAATTATTGGCTATTTGACACTTTAACCTAAATGTCATATCGAAAGAATAACATACTTTGGGTTATCAGATTTTTTGTTTATTTGATTAGGTTTAATCATTTTTTAATATAATTTTGAAAGAATATTCAATCAAACAAAAGAAGATTCAGTTTTTCGGTTTGGTTAACCGGATAAGCAAAATAAAATTTTAATTATATATTTATTTATCAAGATAAAAGGTTAGTGAAATAATTTGAAATTACTTGCAATGGTTTAATATATTTTTATCAACACACGTTTATACCCTTTGCATTTGATACTTTCGGTTTCCTTGCGCCAGAAACTGTGGAGCTACTCAATAGAGTCCAACGGGTCATGTATAGTAATGTTATGACTTCAAGATCTATAGATGTTGTTTTTAAAAGAATTAGTTTTGTCATCCAAAAAGGGGTTGCGGCACAGTTTGTTGCTCGTTTACCCGCTACGTGTAATACTTTCTTTTTATGTTTTATATAATAGATTATCAGGAAATCTTCACAAAAATCTTTTGACTTTATTAACGAAAAAACCACTCCTGATTTGTGCTAAATGCAAACGTTAACAGCATATAAGACATATTTTGCAAACATTTACTCGAGCTTAATTATTAAAAAAAAAATCAAAAGTTATTTTTTCGTTAATAGTGCAAAAGTATAATAATTTTTCTAAATATTTCCCCACAAATACACATACAAAATTTTACCAGATATAACTAAATAGTAACATTATATTTTATATTACACTATTCATAACATCACATTTAATTTGAAAATGACGTTGATTGAATTAAATTACACCAAAAAGGATTTTCGGCTGAAGAATGCCCTATGAGTAGTATAACTTTTCCCAAACCGACAATAATAGAAAAAGGCTGATTTTGTAAAGCATTTTTTTTCTTGTGAACAGAAAATAAAGAGACAATAGTGGAAGGACCATTCCTGCAACTTACCTCTCGAATGTGTGTAGTGGCAGAAAACCCCCAATTTCCATCGAAAGGCGCGTCTACAAAAACATAAAAACCACATAAACTATGCCTTTACGCTGATGCAGAAAGAACAGTTCATCGTCTTTGGTCAATCGCAAACACAAGCGCGTGAGTTCCCAAATTCACAATCCCCCACTAACGCTTCATCAGCAAGAGAGCAGAGTTCGGATCGATTACTCCCTTCTGAATCGTTGTTTGATTTTCGGTTCCCCAAGAACTCCAAACCCTAATTTTTAATTTTTTTTCTAATGTTCTAATTTTCTATTTTATTTTTATTTTTTTAAATTTTTTTTGATTTTCTTTTCCCTCTTTCGTTCCAGATTAGGTAGATCATCATACCCGTTGAAAACCCTAGTTCCGTACCGATTTTGATCTCTGTTTTCCATTGAATCGAACGATTTTGTCCCAGATCTGATGTTATGGTCGGATTTTTTGGAATTCTAGGGCTTGAATTTAGAAGGTTTGAAATTCTAGTGTTTGATTAAATCGTAATTCCGTTTCTTCGTCGGTTTGAACCCTAGCCTCGTTGATCGGATTCGATTTCTTCGTTTCTGAAGAAATCGGATTTAAATTTTTCTGAATTCTCTTTTTCGATTGCGATTTTTGTTATAGCGTTCTCCGGGGCGGCCGGCGGGGGTGTTCGTATATGTATGGCTTCAGGGATATTAGATGCGGACAAGATAAGCAAAGGAAAGAGTAAGTGGGGAGAGGAGGGTAATAAAGTCTACACGAGAAGATTCAAAAGGATCGCCAAGAACACCACCGCCGATACCCCCTCCTCCCCAACCACTACCGACACCGTCACCGTCGCCGCTACATCTCCGCCTACTACCAGAACCAACACATCCAATCCAGCTTCTCCACCCACCGCCACAAACAACGAGCAAAATCTAGCTACTGAAGACGCGAATTCGGAACATCAACATACTCTATCGCCGGTAGTAGAGGTATCAGATGATCATTCGGTTCAAATTGCCGCTTCCCCAAATCGGCCCACCGGGAACGGTGTGATAAAACCGGTTGTTGTTATTGTCGGCGATCGGGTTAAGATTAATTTAAAAGCGGCGAAGTCTAAGAATGAGATTATCGAGCTTAGAGAGAAGCTGAGAGCCGAGCTTAATCGAGTCCGACGTGTATCTCAGAAACTTGAAGATAAAGAAGCTGACACCTTCTCCGCTGTTCTTGCTGTTCCTGCCGACGTTGAAGCTTACAGTCATTCACAGTATTCAGGTAATGATATCATCGAGAGGAGAGCTTTGCTCAGAGTGAATTCAGAAATGGGTACTGATTTTGTGGACAGGAGAGCCTTGATGAGACTGAATTCTGATATGGGTTCGGCTCCCAATACTGACATGAGGCCTTTTAGGCAACTAAATGTATCAGTTGTGGATAACAACAACCATGGAGTCGGTGAGTTTGTTGAAAAAGAAAAAAGGACACCAAAGGCTAATCAGTATTACAGGAATTCAGATTTCCTTCTTGGAAAAGACAGATTACCACCTGAAACCAACAAGAGGCAGAAAGCTAATGGTGGAAGAAAACACAGCAAGGAATCAGATTATTCTTCTGGACATGAAAGACACAGGAATCAGATGTTCAAGAACTGCAACAATTTGCTTCAGAGGTTGATGAAGCACAAACATGGTTGGGTGTTTAACGAACCTGTTAATGCAAAGCTTCTTGGACTCCATGATTACCATGACATAATCAAACACCCGATGGATTTTGGCACAATTAAGAGTCGACTTGCTCAAAACTTCTACAAGTCTCCAATGGAGTTTGCAGAGGATGTGAGGCTGACTTTTTACAACGCCATGACATATAATCCAAAAGGACAAGATGTACATGTTATGGCAGAACAATTATCAAATATATTTGAAGAAAGGTGGTCAGTGATTGAATCTGAATCAAACCCAGATTGGAGATATGGAATGATTTATGATGCAAACACTCCAACTCCAACAAGTAGAACACCCACTTCAAGAAAAGCTCCTCATTTTGCACATGCTCCTTCAAGAACACTGTACAGGTCAGAATCCATGTCTTTACCTTTCATGAATCGGCCAAAACCCAAAATTGCCCCTCCAAGTAGGACACCAGCACCCAAGAAACCCAAAGCTAAAGATCCCAACAAGAGGAACATGACATATGAAGAGAAGCAAAAACTGAGTACAAATCTTCAAAGCTTACCTTCTGAAAAGCTCGACAACATTGTCCAAATCATCAAAAAGAAGAACACTTCACTTTCTCAACATGATGATGAGATTGAAGTTGATATCGATAGTGTTGATATAGAAACTCTATGGGAACTCGATCGGTTTGTCACAAATTACAAGAAGAGTTTGAGTAAACACAGAAGGAGAGCTGAACTTGCTCAACAAGCTAATCGAACTGTGTTACAAGTAAGATTTTATCATTATACTGTCTCTTTTTCTTTTTATCCTCCAAATTTTACATTTTAAGATGTAAATGCAGAACCCGAACCCTGTGACATCCACTATGGAGGCCCCGAAAGAAAATAATAAAACAAGTAAGATTATCTTTATCTTTATCTTTATCTTTATCTATCTAAGAATCAATGATGTTATTGATTTGATAGTAAATTGTGAATGTTTGTTAATGGTGTTGAAGGAGGTGAGAAGAGCATTGCTGGAAGTGGTGGTCCTGGTGAAGGAGGAGATAATGGGGTTGGAAGTAGTAGGTCTAGTAGTTCAAGCAGTTCTAGTAGTGATTCTGGATCATCTTCAAGTGGTAAGTTTTTATATTAATTTGATTCTTAAGTTGTAATAATCAACATTTTGAGTAGTTTAGTTTTGTTGTAATGTATATGTTTGATATGATTATGAATTATGAATATGATTATGCAGATTCAGATAGTGATAGTTCATCTGAAGATGGATCGGATGCAGATGCAGCTCATTCACCTACAACTTGAATGGCATAGATTAAGTAAGGTAAGCCAAACAATGAATTATATGTAGTTTTACTCTTTCAAAACTGATTTTAAAAATTCAAAAAAATGATTATTGCATTTAGTATATAAGAAAATATAAAGTTGGAAATATTCAATTCCGACGGTTTTATGTGCAATTACGACGGGGTGAGAATCGGAATCGGAATCGGAATTGGAATTCTTTGAGTTCATTTTTCAGTAACTCGGTATTTAATTATTAATTTAATATGATATCTTTGATGGCAACTTGATAAATCTTTTTTCAACGTTACTAATCTTCCATATTTGCAGTTATTATGTGTTTTTGACTAAAAATTGTTTGTTTGGTTTATGGTTTGTTGCAGATTTTCATCAACAACTCAACTGACAGGTGTCCTAAGTCCTAACAAAGAAAAAGAAAAAGAATGTTTTTGTGCAAGTGCAATTGGCCGAGATTGTTGATTGTTGATTTGTAATTAAAGATGGTGCCTTGCCTTTTGTTATTAGCAAGTAGAAATTAGTAGTAGTAGTAGCAGGGTGTATGATATAAGAGAGTTGGATTGTGGGCCCCATGCGATCAATCAACAAAAATATATATATATATATATATATATATATATATATATATATATATATATATATATATATATATATATATATATATATAAGTTGCCAAATAGGTTTTGAATTTGGATGGGGGTAGGCTTGGAAAACCACAAATGCAGTTGTGCTTTTTTGCTCATTCTTTGTGTATTATCTCCCTCCCTTTCTCTCTCATAAGTTGTTAAGTTGGAGGAAATGAAAACTATAGCACAAGGAGCAGCTAGTCATGACATGTATAGTTTTGGGTTTTGCTTGTTAGTAGTTAAATAGATGTTCTGTTGTTCTTCTATCACTTGTTTAAGCATTGTTAGTTAGTGTTTCAATAAGTTTAAAGATTTTGATATTATGCTTAAATCCCATATTTGCCCAAGACTTCTTTGTTAAACTTGCAAACTTAATGGGGTTTGAAACCTCCTTTTGCTTTAGAACAAGGGGTATTGCTATAAAAGCCCTTATATTTACATGTGTGGTTATGCCTTAATTTTGTTTTTATGTTTAGTTATGCTTCTATTTCCTTATGTTTTTTTCATTTTAACCGTTGTTACCAAAATTTGCATCCTCTTAGTCGGTTATTATCGTCATAGAAGCTCTCATATTTACACATCACAACCACCACCTTTTGCTACCAACAACACTGTCTACTACCACTAGCACCACCATCTGCCATAACAACCATCGCCACACACCACCATATTTTGAGATCAAAAGACTACTATTTGCCACCATGGGGGAAATCTACACACACACAAACCACCACCACCTAATGCCACCTTTATCCCTCCATCACAATAACCCTTAACCACCTTTTTAAAGACCACAAACACCTTAACATCATCACCCTTAACCTCCTTTAAAGCCACTGTTCACCCACCTTCATAAACCTGTAATAATCGACATTCTAGCTGCCATCATCTTCTCCTTGACCTGCACACACACAAAGATTTACCGCCATCACTATAGCCCATCTGAATCAAGAGGTTGTGGTGCAATTCAAATCAGAAAAAGAAGATGAAGGGAGTGAAACGAACAAGACGAGAAGGGGGTGCACTCTATTGTTGTTACATACATGCATGAGGGGGAAAAAATATAAACACAAACCATGAAATCGATACACTCCATCATTCAAAGCTACCTTCAACGCTCAACGCTAGAGTTCTTCATTCGATGGAGGCGGCTAGGGTTTCGTCTGAGGGGATGGTGGTGAAGGCAAACAAGGTGTTGAAGACGAATCCTCCTAAAGGTGGTAGTGGTGGTGGTCGACTACCCACATGTGATGGTGGTTGCTTTGTGTTAAGATGTACAGGTGACCTATTACCCACATGTAACCTGATAAAAAGTCATAAGTGACAAAAATTATCCAAAATACAAGGTATTAATTGACATAAATTAGAACTTAGGACATAATCACACATTTTATGTAAATATAAGGGTTTTTATGGCAATAACACTTTGAACAAACATGAAAACTTCAAATGTTTTGTTTGTGCATGTTTATCTAGGTGTGGTGTTAGGTTCAAATCTAGGCATCAATTTGTTAAACATTTAATCTTGATAGATATGATTGGTTGTTTCTTTTCTATTTTATCCAACCTTTTTAATTAATATTGATGAATATTATGAAATTTGTTTTTTTTTTTTTTTGGAAAGTGAAAGTAACTTGTCATTTATATTGTGATATAGCCCTAATTATATTCATTCTCATTCTAGAAAAGAAAGACGGCTTGTGCTTGTTCTACGGCATTATAGTATTAAGATATAGGGAGTGTTTGAGATATGCTTATTTAAAACAAGTTAGGTTTTTTTTTTTTTTTGTAAAAGTGTTAGTTAGCAAATTAGGTTAAAACTAAGTTTAAAAATTGTTATGATTAACTTATCCGGTACCAAACGTAATAATCTAATAAGTTATTTTTAGTATATGATAATGTCTATTTAATTTTTAATTGAATAAGAGTATCAAAAACACTTTATTTAAATCAGTAAGAATGAAGTAACTTGTCAAAAACTAAATCAATAAATGGTTTTGATATTCTTGTATCTAAACATTTAAAATAGTTTATTACAGATGACAAATTGTAAAAAATCAATAACTACTTCAACTAAATAATGTCAAACACTTGACGCTTGTCAGATGAACCAACTCGTTGTTGAATTTTATTTTCCCATTAGAAGGGGCTCACACATGTTCTACAATACCCTTTGAAAAGTTATTTTTAGTACTATTATATGATAAGTTATTTTCAGTCTCTTTGTGGTGTCTGCCTGTCTGGTGGAATTTTCAAGTCCCTTCCTTTGTTTTGACTAACAATTGCATTTATTGGACAGGCGATTTGAATCTTTCTTCTTTAAAAGAAAGGGTTTTGATGCTTAAAATAAATGCTTATATATTTCAAAGTTTAAAATCCTAAGAAAAAAAAACCTTTTACTTTCATACCATCGTTTCTCAATTCAATTGTTTCTTTGAATTTTCCTTGTAGAATTCAAGGAAATACATAGATTACACAAGTTGAAGTGGAGCGACTTATGAGTCCACTTTCCTTTTAAAAAAACTGTCGATGTACAACTCAAATTATAAATAACTTACAGAGTTGAAACAGGAATATAAGATTTACAGATCCTTCACAGTTAAACATACTAAGATGAGATTAGAATAATGTTTGTGGAGGACAAGATGAAAGAAATCATACGCAAATATGACAAAATCACAAATCCAGATAAAGCTAATAGCTAATAGCTGCAATAGCATTAATTAAAATAAATCCACATCACTTGCAACCATAAATAAATAGGTTCATAACTAAATGCAGCATAAAATAAATAGACCCATCATGATTGTCACTAAGCTATACAATATACGATGATACCTCAAGTTTGTGACAAAAACCTTTTGAACCAAAGTACCATTACTCATTAACTAAACCAGAACAAAAAACACACAACCGGAATGGAATCAGCCATTCCCATTATTAATAGTTGGCTGCAGGGGGCGGCATAGGCATGTCTCTCCCAGGTACATCCTGATTCTGGTATGGATTCCCACCACCTACATTCTGAGGAGGAGGAGGAGGAGGAGGAGGATAATTACTATTTTGCCCTTGATACCCTTGTCCTCCATTGTTCTGTCCATTCCATCCTCCCTGCTGCTGGTAATTAGGAGGCGGCGGCCTCATTCCTCCTCCCATGTTTGGCGGCCCTCCATTGTAAGGTGGCGGTGGTCCATTCCAGTTGTTGTTGGACTGAGGACCTCCATACCCCATGTTACTAGGTGGTGGACCTCCTCCCATGTTATTGGGTGGTGGACCTCCTCCCATGTTATTGGGTGGTGGGCCACCTCCCATATTGGGTGGTGGTCCACCCATGTTGCTGGGTGGTGGACCACCCAAGTAGTTAGGTGGTGATGGTGGGCCGCCCATGGGTGGTGGTGGACCGCCCATAACTGGTGGTCCACGGTTGCTCTGCATGTTCTCTCTTCTTCTTTCGAAATTTCTTGACCGGTCAAAGTTGCGAGGCCTGTCATTCCTCCTGTTCCTCTCATTGGCTCGAGCATTGTTTCTAATCCACTCCTCATGGTACTTTGGATCATAAGGAACAGCCTTCCCATCAATAAATGGTTCACCTACACCAAAAAAATACATAATAATATATTAAATCTAACATTATAATTCAAAGTCAAGAATGTAGCTGTTTAGTGAATTACCTCCATAATCTTTGTTCTTAACATCCAAGTAAGAATCAGGAAGCACCCAACGAACTCCAGGTAACTCTGATATATAAACAATGAGAATTTGATCAGTCAATGTATCACTATATCATTGACAAATTAAATGATTTGAGGATTCAAAGATTTGATTACCCTTAATCTTGTAAGAAACTTCTTCAGACACAAGGGCTCCAAATGCATAATAGCATCTTGTCGAAACCGAGTAGATCTTCATTCTTGCTTCATCGTAACTAAAAAAAACAAATAATGGAGTTTAATCGAAGCATATAACTCCAACCAGGTGTTTAAAAGAATAACAAACACAAACTCCGAAAGCAGATGTGACTATTGACTACTACACAGTCTAAAGTTACATCCTTGATCCTTGTCATAATCAAAAAGAAAACCATCGAGCAATTTGTATAAACAAGTAACATATTCGGTTAATAAAAAATAGGGAAAAAAAATATAATCATTCTTACCTGCCAACAACCTTGGCTAGGGTATTGATATACGAATCAATTATCTCATCTCTAGTCGGTTCGCCTTCGGGTTTCTCCACCACGACAAGCCAGTGCTCAAAATCGCAGCCATCGAGAAGAATTGTCTCCTTTGGGGGGCGATTTGACCAATTAGGGTTCGAATCATTCAGAGAAGATGTGGTGAGTCGGGTAGAGAAAGCACGGGTATTGGTAGCCGCAAGTGAGGAGTGACGGATATTAGCGGCGGCGATGGTGACAATAGGGCGTAAACGTTGAAGATAAGCAGAGGTAGTGAATGAACGAGGGATTAGGGTTTGATTGGCGGAGGAGAGAAGGGTGCGAAGGAGAACGCGAGTCGCCATTTTTAGCGATTTTCGAGTGTCTTTGGGGTTCTGGACGTTTAAAACCCTAGTTATCGATGAGGGTTTAGGTTCTCTTCATAGACGATGAGGTGCAATGTCGAAATTGCCCTTTGAGCGAGTCGGTAGAATTATCTTCAAGCGAATTGCGTGAATGGTCCATAAAGTATTCTCTAACTTACATTTTCGTTACAACTTTTTAACAAGGTTACATAAAGGATAAAACATGTCAAAAAAATAATAATAATAAAATAAAATAAATTAGGTTTAGTTTCTTAAGTATTCTTTAATCCACATATTATGATTGAACTTGTTTGGATTCATTACGTCTTTATGACAGTTGACGTAGGTAACATAGTTTAGGTTTTGTTCAAATTTAGTCTCATAAGTTTTTTTGTCTGTATATTACCATTGAATTTGTTTGGACTGTCTGCATTACATTTTTA